AGAACAGAAAACTGTCACTCTACCAAGCAATCTACTTGCTAGTTAGATACAGAAAACTATCAATGTACCAAGCAATCTAGTAGCTAGCTAGACACAGAAAACTGTCATTGTACCAACCAATCTACCAGCTAGCTATTCAGACACGATGGCTGTGTATCATAATCTGTCATCTAACTTTTTAACAAAATATTTTGTTATGAGTCAGCTCATTTCGTATTCTAACATTAGGTGGTGCAGGCAGGTGCCGAGTAAAATATAACCATCATATTTACATCTCCGCATTAAAAAATGGGCCCTGCCTGGCCATCTACCACACTCAAATAAGACATTTATGTACTTACACTTGTCTAAACGTTAGTCCGAAATGTACTGTCCCTCATGCACATAGCCATCGTATCACGAATACGGGTTTTGACATGTCTTACGAATGGTGGCGTGGTTTGGACACGGGAGGCAATAGCTAGACTTGATTGTGGAATGGTATGCCCGCTGTCTCTTGCTAATTTCCGCCAGTAAGTGGATTGTTGGCCAATATAATAGCCCCATAGTCAATAAGGTACAGATAGTAAAACTTTGATTCATTCATTATAAGGTACAGAACATTTCATTTCATTAGTCCAATAAGATACAGAACAGTAGGATATAAAACTCTATTTCATTTCATTAGTCCAATAAGATACAGAACAGTAGGATATAAAACTCTATTTCATTTCATTAGTCCAATAAGATACAGAACAGTAGGATATAAAACTCTATTTCATTTCATTAGTCCAATAAGATACAGAACAGTAGGATATAAAACTACATTTCATTTCATTAGTCCAATAAGATACAGAACAGTAGGATATAAAACTACATTTCATTTCATTAGTCCAATAAGATACAGAACAGTAGGATATAAAACTACATTTCATTTCATTAGTCCAATAAGATACAGAACAGTAGGATATAAAACTCTATTTCATTTCATTAGTCCAATAAGATACAGAACAGTAGGATATAAAACTCAATTTCATTTCATTAGTCCAATAAGATACAGAACAGTAAGATATAAAACTCTATTTCATGTCATTAGTCTAATAAGATACAGAACAGTAGGATATAAAACTCTATTTCATTTCATTAGTCTACTAAGATACAGAACAGTAGGATATAAAACT